ATACTTACATGAGATTTTAGAAAATTCTTCGTGTATTGCTATTTTGAATTATATCATCTATAATTCTTATTTATCAACACAATTCCATTACTGCTTTAAATCTTCTTATCTATTTTCTCTAGTGTATTTTTTATATTTCGTTATATTTGATTTGAGTTTGATTTAAATGAAAATATGTATTGTATTTAAATAACGAATCGCATACAAATTTTAGTAATATTTTGATTCGTTAAATTGTTCATAAAAAGAAGAGATTCTCATTTGATGCAAAACATTTCGAAGAAAAGAGATAATTCACAGAGATAACATAAAAATGCTTCGATTGTTATTATCAATAAATTAAAAGTAAAATATTAATTTTTAAGAATTCTTTTGTTTTTGTTTTATGTAGAAAAGTTCAGAGAATAGACATAGTTTAATTTTTAAGAATTCTTTTGTTTTTGTTTTATGTAGAAAAGTTCAGAGAATAGACATAGTTGAGAATAAAAATAAGCATTTCCATCTGTTTAATTCATAATGAATATTCTCCGACTAATTCATTGACATCAACCGATGTCAGTCGCCGTTACAAAGTTGTTAAAGAGAGTTTACGACAGAGTAACGAGACGGTAAATTGGAAAAATATCTATCTTATTGGGCTATTTTGCTGTTCCACAAGGTGAATCACGTAACTTGTTAGGCGAGCCAGTATCTCAGTAACTGTTCAATTGGTGATAGCGAGACAAGGAAGACGACAGTTAGTGGCTCAAGCTTTATTTTTTTTTTCTTGTCGTCTCAATCATGTTGTGAATTTTTTCAACTGTATGCCTTGTCTTAAAAGATTAGCGTTTGATACAATAGGAAACGTGTGTAAATGATATCAGTATTTTGATAATAGATGATTTCTATTCGTTCTGCGCAATTTCTATATGCAGGGTACGAATAAATATTTATAACGGTGTTCACGAGTGATTCTCTGGGATTGATGAAAATCTGTAAAGGCAAACTTGCTGAGATTATTTTTAATTCAACGAAAGAGGAAATAATTGATAAAGTAATACAAGATGCAAATGAATCGTGTACACTTTATAAAAAAACTACTAAATTTTTTGTCTCTTAATAGCCTTAATCTTGTAAAAATTTTTTTCGTCCTTGTTTTCTGTAAATGAGCTGCAGTTCATGGTTTCAGCGCCACTCTACGTATAAGAAATATTAAACAGCGTTGTGTCAATTATATATCCCTTAGTTTAAGAATTAAGTAACTGTGGGAAATGTTTAACGAAGTTAGACGAGATCAAATCACGTGAAAATAATACACACACGTATATAAAGTGAACCACTAATACGTAACTTGTGCATGCTTGGTGTCTTCTTTGTAAAGATTTAATTGAAATGTTCTTGTAGTGGATAATATTACGACTTAACGTGTAGGGTATTTTTAGAATAACTGTTCAAGCTATAAATTTGAAACTCTTTATACATTCATTTATATGCATGTATTCTGCTTTTTCTTCAAACGATTCAGGCTTACTTGACTCCTTGGGAACTCACGAATTTATAACATAATTCGTAACACTTTGCAACAATAAATGACCTCATATTTTCAGATTTTTTGGAAGGGGGCGCCATAGTTAAAAAAATTAAAAACCACTATTTTTTATCTTTGCGTGTGTATAAGATTATGACACTGCTTGTGGCAGTTGGTAGGATCCAGTAAACGGTAACATAAGAAGCGTTTCTCGTATTAATCATAGAGATACTTGTTTTATTTACTGCAAAATACAAAAGATGGAATATAATACCTGGAAGGGTGGAAGACTGTCCAGGCCATTAGCTCTTAACACCTCTTCATATAGCCAAACCGTTTCAGATCTTTCTAAATTAAAAACGATTACTTGTTCCAAATGAAATACAATGTAATACACGTGAAATTAGAGGGGGAGTTTTTTTTCTGGTTAAACTAACGAACTCTCGGTATGTTTTATATGTAGAGCTGAGAAGATTTTGTATTAATGATGGACTTGGATAATTTTCGTTCAACGAGAATTTAACTTTTCATCGATGTCAATCTTGTGTTAAAAGTGATAATCCTTCTCACCGTCAGAAGGATTATCAGGCGTAATAATTATCACGAACAAGTTGCACGAAACAAGCCGCACATCAGTGAGCAGAATAGGAGAAAAACGAAGAGAATTCACATGAGATTATTTAAAAAAAGATTCTGACTTTGGAAGAACTTAGTTACTCTTACGGACGAATCCGAATTTAACATTTTTGAGATGATCTAAGGAAGAGATGAAGATACAAAATCTTCGGGCAACGGTGAAGTTTGGAGGAGGATGTGAAATGGTCTGGGGCCGCATCTCAGCTTCT